CCACTCTTCCAGTAATCGGAAAGTTGGCAGACGAGGTAACGGCTGAACAAGATGTTAGCGTTTGCAAAGTACGTTTTCTGTTGCAATGTAGATAGTAATAAGTTGCCCGCAAACCTTTTCATAAAAGACGCACGACCAGTCGCCAAAGCGAGCACCCAAAATGTGGAGAAGGGAAAACACAAATTCGAAACTTTCACCCTTGATAAACCTGATATCTTCGTATGCGACCTCCTTCAAGGCATGAATTGAGTCTACCTGAAACACTCTTGTTGGAGTCTGACCACTACACCTAGGAAACTACCAAATGAGCTAATTTTGCCATCCTACAACAATCAAGAAAAGTGTTAAAAATCTTCGAGTACTGATAGGCTGTAAAAAAAACTGAAACCAAGCAACCCATACTTCTTGACATCCCGAAACCCTAGGGACCTATCTTTATAGAAAACTTTGATTATGAAAAATTCTGATCCAAAAAGACGAAAGAGTGTTTCAATTTAATAGTGGACAGCGTGAAAAGTCACACCAGAACTTACAGTGGCATGTGAACTAGATAAGGCCCTTCTAGGACGGCATTCAATATTTTCCAACTCGCGTTCCATCTCCACCCAGCTTACTATCAAGTTGTCCTCGGATGTTGCGATCCTGATTAGAAAAATGTGTGCATTGATGAACGTTTTCTTCTGTGAAAATTACCATTTATATTCACCTCTGCTCTAATTCCTGGGTCTTCTGCTCCTGCAAAGCTCGTGCAACGATTTCAAGCTTTTCAACTTCTAACGAATCGTTGCAATTCTCGTAGAAACTGCGCCATCCTGAAATGAAGCCTATGGCTAATTGTATGAATTGAGCAAGTTAAATTGAACAACTTTAACCAACCTTTGGCTCCTTCATCGCCAAAACGAGGGACACCGCTCTTCCAGAATGCGGCAAATGCCTCTTTCCTTTTATCTTCTGAAACATGCTGCAAGGACTCCGGAGCGAGGAAGTTGTATTCAAAAGAAGCCTAAAAGATCGGGACACTAGAAGTATATATATATAT